AGCAGGAAGGTGGAAGAGCAGATAGTGACGCACAGGGGGGGCACCCGTAAAACCGCAGCCAAGATCACGTCGAACATCCCCCTCAATGGCCTATTTGGGGACCGCTGGCAGCCTCTTGGGGGCCTGGGGAACTATCACAGGGGAAGGCTGGCTTCCAAGATGGCGCTAGATGGGCCGCACTGGCCCAAGATGACCTCCAGCATGGCTCCAGTAGGCCCCCCAAAGGCTCTAATATTGCTCCGAGGTGGACCTAGAGCCTCCCAGGAATATCCTCGAGAGGCCAAGACAATTCGCAGCAATCATGCTTTTTGATCCTTTTGGCCTTTTTGACTCTTCAGCTTCTGCTGGGCCTCTGCGGACTGCGGATGGTTCTGAGATCCCCCGACGGGGCCCGCAGAGGTGCCCACAGGAGAGCCCCAGGGGCCCCAGATGGCATCCCACGAGGGCCCCCAGAGGGAGGCCCAGGAACACCCTCGCGAGGCGCACGCGCACGCTCTCGCGGGCGCTCGCCCCCCGCGCCCCGCGGGCTCTGGGAGCCCTCGCCGGGGCTCCGCCAGGCGCGGCGCCCCTATGGCCACTCGGGAGCCAGCTTCGGGCGCGCATGGCGAGCGGCTCGGCGCGCTCTGCAAGCGGCGCTCGGAGGCCGCCAGAGGCGGTGGCGTGCCGCCCCGCGCCGCCGCCGAGGCGCCCGAGCTGCTGCGGCCCAAGCGGCCGCTGCCGCGGCCACATCGGGCGGCAGGGCACGGCCAGAAGACGTGCTCCGCGGGAGGCGCCCGTGCACCGCCACCGTGCCGTGTCTGGGCCATCCTTTTGGCGCCAGGATGGTGTACAGCTCCTCCTGGCCTGGGCCAGGAGTGTGTGTGTGTGTGCAAGCAATGCATATGTTTGTCTCTCAGTCTGTCTGTCCGTCCGTCCGTTCGTCCGTCCGTCCGTCCGTCCGTCCGTCCGTCTGTCTGTCTGTCTGTATGTATGTATGTATGCATGCATGTATGTATGTATGTATGTATACATGTCCAGTTGCGTTGCCGCGCTCGGGCGGGTGCCGCGGTGGCGGATACACACATGTACACATGTGTACACAGGTAAATACAATGTTGACTGAGCCATATGTGCATGTACGCATGCATGCATGTTTGTATGCATGTATGTGTATACGGATGAGTTGATGGTTGCATGCGTATAGGTACACATACATGTCTGCAGGCTGTGCATTCATGCCCTGAATGTATGTACATATATGTATACGTCTATTTAGACACATGCATGCATGCCTGTCTGCCTGTCTGTCTGTATGCATGTACATATGTATGTATGTATGTATGCATGCATGTATGTATGTATGTATGTATGTATGTATGTATGTATGTATGTATGTATGTATGTATGTATGTATGTATGTATGTATGTATGTATGTATGTATGTATGTATGTATGTATATATGTCTGTATGTATGTATGTATGCATGCATGTATGTATGTATGTATATATGTATGTATGTATGTATGTATGTATGCATGTATGTATATATGTATGTATGCATGCATGTATGTATGTTTGTATGTATGTATGTATGTATGTATGTATTATGTATGTATGTATGCATGTGTGTATGTATGCATGTATGTACGTACGCACGTCTGTATGCGTATTTATGTATGCTTCTACGTATGCATGTATGCCTGTATGCATGTAGTTTAATATGCAATGCAATGCACGACAATGTAATACCATGTATTTAAAGTAATGATGCCGGAGAAAAGCCCCAATCCAAGTCTTTTTGGGGCTATAGGGCTATGGGGCTATTGGGCTATAGGGCGATAGGGGCTATAGGGTTATAAGGCTATAGGGCTATAGGGATATTCGGCTATATGTCTACAGGGCTATGGGGCTACAGGGCTATAAGGCTATAGGGCTATAGGGCTATAGGGCTATAGGGCTGTAGGGCTCTAGGGCTCCAGGGCGATAAGGCTATAAGGCTATAGGGCTATAGGGCTGTAGGGCTAATGTGCTATAGGGCTATAGGGCTATAGGGCTATTTGACTATAGGGCTATAGGGCTATAGGGATCTAGGGCTAAATTGCTATGCGGCTCTAGTGCGATAGGGATACAGGGCTGTAAGGCTACAAGGCTATAGGGCTATAGGGCTATAAAGCTATTGGGCTATAGGACTAGAGGTCTATTGGTCTATGGGGCTATAGGACTATAGAGGTATAGGGCTATAGGGGTACAGGGCTATAGGGCCATAGGGCTATATGGCAACCTGGCACCTCGGCACCTGGGCACCCGGGCACCCAGGCACCCGACCACCCGGTCACCTGGGCACCCGGGCACCCGGGCGGGCCGCGGTGATCGGTGACACACCTCCCTTAACCATACGAATCCGCTAGGGCCCCTACAGAGGCAAGCTCTGATTTGTGAATCTAGTGTAGTGCATTGGAAAGTAAAGTGAATGTAAATGTACATGTATATCCGGAGAGAAGCCCCGCTCCAATCAAAATCTCTTTAGGGCTATAGGGCTATGAGTCTATTGGGCTATAGGGCGATGAGGCTATGGGGCTATATGGCTATGAAACTATGGGGTTATAGGGCCATAGGGCTATAGGTCTGTAGGGCTATTGGGCTATAGGGGCATATGGCTATGGGGCTGTCGGGCTATAGGGCTGTGGGGCTATGGGGCTATGGGGCTATGGGGCTCTGGGGCTATGGACTATAGGGTTAGAGGGCCATAGGGCTATGAGTTTATTGGGCTATGGGTCATAGGGCTAGAGGACCACAGGGCTAAAAGGCTACAGGGTTATAGGGCTACGGGGATATAGAGCTATAGGGCTATAGGCATATAGAGCTAAAGGGCTATAGGGCTATATAGGGCTATAAGACCATAAGGCTATAGGGCTACAGGGCTATCGGGCTATAGGTCTCTAGGGCTATAGGGCTATTGGGCTATAGGGCTATAGGGCGATAGGGCTACGAGGCTGTAGGGCTATCGGGCTATTGGGCTATGGGGCTATGGGGCTATGGGGCTATAGGGCTATAGGGCTATAGGGCTATAGGGCTATAGGGCTATGGGGCTATAGGGCTCTAGGGCTCTAGGGCTCTAGGGCTATAGGGCTATGAGGATATAGGGTTATAGGGCTATAGGTCCATTGGGCTATGGGGCTATAGGGCTATAGGGCTATAGGGCTATTGTGCTATGGGGCTATAGGACTATATGACCATAGGGCTATAGGGCTATAGGGCTATAGGGCTATAAGGCTATAGGGCTATAAGATACTTGGGCACCCGAGCACCCGGGCGGGCCGCGGGAATCGGCGGCAAAGCTCACCTAACCATATGAATCCGCTAGGACCCTTACAGAGGCAAGCTCTGATTGGGGAACGTAACGTAATTCTAGACGCTACGCGTTTCCCCACCAGCCCATCCAGAAACGATATCCAGGTGAGTTGAGGTTATCAGGGAAATGCGGGAGGAAAGAGGTGGACGGCCGAACCGTGCGAAGTAGGGAGGAGAAGGAGGAGGCTGGACGGATGGATGAGGGAACGGGGAGAAGGAAGATGAATAGGATGATGATGATGAGGAGAAGGAAGAGAAGGAGTAGGAGGAGAAAGGAGGAGCAGGAGGAGGAGGGCAAGCACAAGGGCCAGAGGTCTCTTGGATGCTTCTCGGAGCCTCTTGGGATGTCTGTTGGGCACTTCTTGGAGGCCTCTTGGGACGTCTTGGGGGTCTCTCGGCGGTCCTGGGAGGCTCTTAGGCGTCTTGGGTGCCTCGGGGGGGCCTCTTGGGGCCGCTTGGGGTCCTCTTGGGGGCCTCCTGGGGGCCTCTTGGGGCCATCATGGAGCCATCTTGGGGCCATCTTGGGGCCTCTTGGGGTCTCCTGGGCGCCTCTTGGGGCCATCTTGGAGGAGATCAATCAAAGAAGGGGGGTTCCCTAATCCCCCCCCCCAAAAGGTTACAATGGGGCCCAAACCCTAGTAAAACCAATGATTTTGGCTTCCTCGCCGAGGCCGTCTTTGACGCTCCAACGATCCGCGACCGGCCCCGTCCAGGTCCAAGGGAGGGGGCAAGGGGGAGGGGTGAACCCTTCCCCGAAGGGGAAGAGGGGTGGGTGGAAGAGGAAACACCCTAAACCACCTACGCCCAGAGGGCTGGTCAGCCGAAGCTCGGGTGCAAGGAGTGCGCCGCGACGGCGGCGAAGCGAGTGAACGACCTGCGGGGCAAGTTGAAAGGCAGCAAGCGCATTTGCAAATGCTACTGCCCCATCCACCACTTGAAATGCCCGTTGGCTCCGGTCGTGTAGCATCAGAAGCGCTGGTCCAGGCAGCGACACAGGGAAAACCGCCGAAGCCCGGGGTTCTTGGTCGGTCTAAATCCACAGCATCCCTGGTAGAGAAAGGCTTGGGGTCGGGGCGCCTGAGACAAGGCGCAGGAAGTCGACCGACTGCGTTGAAGCCTTGGGATGTTTTCGCGCTCGGCGCAGTTTGTGGCGAATTGCAGGACGCGCTCTGCGCTGTGGAGTATCCAGCATGA